TGCTGCCTCCCCCTCTGCTGCCTCCCCCTATTTTTCCCTTTCACTTTTTGTCGACACAAACAGCTGAGAAATTCACCAAGAGATTTCTTCCGGTGGTAAAGTAGTTTTTTGGGTTTTTTTTGTCCCTCTGTTGCTATTATCTTTTCTGGTTTTATAAAAATATTTGTGAAACACAATATACTCCCCTTAGTCTTGTTAATATAAATTCAATATTATATCGACTCATATAAATCCCTCCACTGTTCTTCCTTCTTCAGCTGTTTTTTGGGAGATTTTCTTCTAACTCTTTCAGGTGAATGTGATTTGTCTATTTGGACTACAAATATAATTCGCTTGACTTGAAATAAAAATAAACTTACGGCACTCATTGCAAGTTAACCAGAAAAAGGCCAGTAGATTGAAAAATATAATGCCGTAGCAGAGCTGGATATGTGTTTTGTAAAGAAAATATTACCCTCTAAGTCCTAACAGTAGGTCAGTCTGACATTTTAGATGAGTTGCAACTTAACTATTCCAGTAAACTTACTGGGTATAAATTGTGTAAAAAGTGGATGCTAGAGTGAATAGAACATGTAGGTGTGAAAGGGCTGTGAGGTGGTTGGAGAGGCATCAGGGAGTGAAGCGGTCCATGATGTAGGATGCAGACAGGAAAAGGGAGAGTTTGGAGAAGATAACACTGGAGAGATACCACAGAGCCGGTGCACAGAGTGACGCAGCCTGATGTAACGCAGTTATGCATTCCACTCCACTTCAGAGCTTTTCTTTAGAAATGCTATGCATGCATATTATGGAAGATGAATTTGGACACGTCAACAAACTCTGTAAACAAATAGCTTCTGCCTGCGTGTGCTGTTTAATTTTGTGGCTTTTTGTTACAGATTATAAACCGGCTTCACAGCTCTGGATCCTGCTCATCATCACTTCACAGATAAAAAAAGGAGCTCTTGATATTCAATTCACACTACAGCGGAAAAAGAAAATATCATGAGTGTGGGAATATGCATGATCACAGCCACAACTGGAACTGCTGTTAAAGCGCATTGTACACGTGCATATATGTGCACGTACTTCAGTTCTGCTGTGGATGAAGGGAGTTCATCAGTGCACACGTGTAATTTAGGAGAGTTGTATGTAACGTGATGGCATGTATGTGTGTGTGTCATGTGCGCGTGTGCCTCCTTGCAGGGAGTGTGTATGAATGTGCTGCCCTGGTTTCAACTCTGCCGTTCCTGCACTCTCACATTATCATACAGAGCAGACAGAGTGCGTGTGCTGGGTTGTAAAACTCCCCTCTCCCCTCTGACGGCACTCCCTCTCCCCCACCATCTCCTCTCCTGCTGAGCTCCCCCTGTGCAATCTGTAGAGTGCACACGTACACTGTCTAACCTGAGTGGGAGTCTCTCTGCTGCTGTTCAAGCATGTGTGTGTGTGTGTATGCATGCGTGTGTGCCAGAGGCTCAAAGAGACAGTGCTGCAGAGCACGTATGAAATTATTTCTGAATGTGTTTGACTTGAATTTTTATACATTCTTAAACCAAAGTTTAAAGCCTTCTCTCTCACCTTCTTGTGTCTGGAGAGCACGGCAGATAAATCTCTATTCTTACGTCCAGCACCTGAGAGTCATCACTTCAACTGGAATTAATCACACATGTAACATAGCGTTCATGGATATGAAGAAACCAGGCCACTGCCTCGGAAAAAAACCCAAACAACTGACTGTTGTGGAGCCCCCTGCTGCTTCAAAACGCCACTTCATTTAATTTAAAACGCTTATTTTGTGCCATTCATATTAAAACAAAACACAACTACACAAAACATATATATTGTCAATAAAATGAATTCTCCTTGTTCTGCTCCTTTTGGACGTAGCTCTGCGCTCACCATAGGGGCCAGCCCCCTACTTTGGGAACCACTGACTCAAAGTGTTCTGCAGTTGAATATCTGTTGTTCCAATCATCTGTGTATTATATTGATGAACTGTAGTATCTTGGCCTAATCTCAATATAACAAGGTCCTTTTTATAGAATAACGTACTGTAAGTAATATAAGAGCATAAACACTATGTCAACAAGCATGAAATACCAGTCCAAAGAACTGGTTTGGCTACTAGTACAGCTGTCACTATTGATTTAAGTTACTTTGAAGGTCAACCTTATATTAATTGTTTGATGTTTATGTGATAGTGAGGCAGTCTGACCTGTTACCAACCAAGGTAACACAATGTGAAGAACTAGAACAAATGTGACACCTAGTGCCTTAAAAAGCAGAATATTTTGTTTTTAAAATACACTGCTTCACCAGCTATCAATGCCTCTACTTCAAAAATGATAATTTAAAGGAGTAAACTTTTTAATTGGAGTTGTTTCTGATTGATCGTAGATACACTCAAAACGATTCCTCAATAAAAAAGTGTTATCAACTAAATTAGTCGTACACCCGTCCATCCCTCGTCAACTAAATGTCCCTGCTCTAATTAATTAACCAAGCTTGATTATAAAGATGTGATATCAGTTAAATGTTAAAAACTGTGATAGAAAAAATACAGGAAATCAAAAGAATGTGCTCATCTGGTGTCAATCACAATCACACAAACGAACCCTGACAAGCAGAGGGAGAGAGACAGGAAGACACACATGAATTTCTGAATTCATTCCCAGAACGAACCTGAACTCAGTGGAAGGAACGACAACTTCAGGTTGTGCCTCTTGCATAAACCTCCTGCACTGATATTGAGTGTGAATGTGTGAAAACAAAACCACAGTGCCATCAGTAAAGTGCTTTAATGATGCTGCTACGATGCGGTGACACAGATAAAAATCATTGAATTTAAACATGCTATTTTGAGATGCTGATACACTCTGGCACACAGACAGACAGAACCAGAGAGAAGAGACAACCATGAGCTGCTGTGAGAGAGAAGCCTGAACAGTCTGAAAAAAATAAATAAAAACCCAGCTCGTCTCCCAGAAAACTAATTGATCGTTGCAGGTGAGAAGCTCTGCCAACTCAACCTGGTTTGTAACCTTTGTGTCTCCTCTCCTGGTTTGAATCTCCAATCGGAGAATAGTTTGTTGGAAATTATAGACAGGGAACAAACATAGGTTCCCGCCAAGGAAAAGAGGAAAAAAAAAAGGCCAAAGAGAGTGACTAAGTGAGTGGAGAAAAAAAATGAGGGGGGTGGAATACAAGTGCTTGGGAGATGAAGATGGATATTGAAAGAGTGAGAAATAATGAGAGAAGAAGAAAAATGTTCCAGCTCTCAGAAAGATGAATAGGGTGATAGTTTGCAGACAGCCTTTCAATGTGTCAGTGGAAGTTCTGTATCCATCTCCCTCTTCACTAATAAGGCACAGAATCCCCAAGACACATCCACCAGAATCTATTCGTTTGTCTCCAATAAGACAGCAACCTTTCTGGTCATATTAACCAGGATTTGCATAGCTACATTTACATAAGGATTTAATAATGTTGTCCGGGATGAGACAAAACACACCTGTCAATCATTCCAGGTTCACTAAAAGGTTTCTGTGCTCTTTGAGGAAACACAGGCTCCTAGTTTTACCTCTGGATCTCAAGCAACCGAGTCAAGGTTTGGTGAAAATTTAATCAAGCCGAGCTCTGGTTGCTTCTAATCAAATCTGGTTTTATCATTTGACTTTTTTTTTTTTTTTTTTTACTGTACCCAGAACTAATTAGATCCTCCAAACTTTTCAGTTGTATAATCAGTAAAGAACAATTACTGCACTGCTGTAGTGTACAAATAAAGATGAGCAACAAAAAATTCCTTTAGTATGGAGTTAACTTGCCTACATTGACTTGGAATTAGAGTAAAAACCTAACCACCAGACAAGATTATATACTGATATAT